CTGAAAGCCTGAGGAATCTTCACAGATTCTCTTCAGTTTTAATAGATGCTTACTAGTTTTGTCTTTTGTGTTTCTATTTCTTTTATGATAGCCATTGTTGTTGTTGTTGTTAAGTGCCCTTGATTCATTTCCAACTCATAATGACCCTGTTTAGGGTTTCCAAGGAGCAGCTGGTGAGTTTGAACCACTGACCTTTTAGTTCAAACAGACCTTGCAGCCCAGTGCTTATCCTACAGCAACAGTTAATAAGATGCACGTGAAAGAAAAATTTAGCATTTATTTTGAGATTATCCTATCAATAAACATTTGTATTGAGATGTTGACTAAAAGGTTCATGGCCCAAGCCTTAACTCCCCAGGAACCAAACCATTCCATATTCTACTATATACTATATAGTGTCCAAAGTTCCCATTATGCTTTAAATCAAACAAATGTGAATTACAGTCACAGTGTAATTACCTGAGGAATACTGACTAGAACATTGTTCTAAAAATGGACAATATGCCCAATATCTTTTAACTGTTTTTTTTTTTTTTTGTCTCTGAGCTTATTTGCCTAGTTATGTATGGTATTCATTTACCTATTACTTACTTAAAAAATAATTTACTATTTCTGAAAATAGAAGCTTAACATTTAGCCTGTGAGATCAGCAGCCCTCTAATTACAGAAGAACACTCAAGATACTTGTATCAGGGATCAATGAAGTGTATTCAGTATATCATTGTTGTTGTTAAGTGCCGTTAGGTGGGTTCCGGCCCGCAGTCATCCTTAGTATAGGGTTTCCAAGGAGTGGCTGGTAAGCTTGAACCGCCGACCTTTTGGTTCAAACAATTTTGCAGTATAGCGCATTAAGCCACAGCACCAAAACAATGCATAAATAGGCTAACATTTATTTTTGCTTATTTTGAAAGTCAAAAGTTAAAAATATAAATAAAAATGTAATGCAGTTTTCAATGTATCATAAATGCAAAGAAAGCTGTTCTTCCTAAAATATCAAGTATTTTTTGTCTAGAATTTTATAAAGAGAAAATTTCATCAGACTGGATAATTATATAATGCATTGTAAATATAAGTTTGTTTTTTTCAATATAGTTTTAAAAATGGAAACAATAACTTTTAAAAAATATGATTTAAATTGCTAAAAATAAAAAAATATGTATAGTATTATGCTGGATAGAAATTCTGAAAAATATTCTACAGAGGATGAAATAATAAATTACTTTCTGGTGAAAAATTGGAGAAAAAAAAAGAACAGATTATTATCCTTCCTCTTAGAGTTTCACTATTAAATGGCTTCTTTAGGATTTTGACAAGCAGTGTAGAGAATAAAATAAAATGAATTAATTGTTTCATTAAATATTAAGATTTGAGTAAGTGGGATGTCCCTTATAAGTATAATGTTCATTTTGGTGATTTAATTTCATTGTAAATAAAGGAGTTCGTCATATATGACCTTTCTACGTTATTTGCTCTGGCTGAATACTGACTCACTTCTCAGCTTGAATAGTGCTCTCTTCACTTCCTTGTTTCTCAGGGTGTACACAACAGGGTTTAGAAGAGGTGTCAGCACAGTGTAGAAAACTGCCACCACCCCATCAACAGCATCCTTGGAGCCTGGTCTCAAATATATGAAAACACAGGGAACAAAGAAACAGAGGACCACAATGCAGTGAGAGGCACAGGTCTGGAAGGCTTTCAGTCTCCCCTCTGTGGTTCTGATCTTCAGGATGGAACAGACAATGGAAACATAGGAAAGCACTATCAGGCAGAAGCAGCCAGATGCCACTACTCCAATGTTGATGAAGATCACCATCTCATTGGTGGAGGTGTCTGCACAGGCTAGTTTCAGGATGGGCGGTGCATCACAGAAATAGTGCTGGATCTGGCTGGGCCCACAATAGGGCAAACGAAATGTCAATATTATCTGGACTGCAGAGTGAAGAGATCCACTGAGCCACGTGCTGGTGGCCAGGAGGGCACACATTCTTCCTGTCATCATGCTGTTATATCTGAGTGGATAACTGATGGCCAGGTAGCGATCATAGGACATGACAGTGTAGAGGAAACACTCAGTGCTGCCCAGGAAGTGGAAGAAATAGAGCTGGGAAACACAACTGTGAAAGGAGATATCCCTGCCCCCTGGAGAGAGGAAGGTCATCAGCATTTTAGGTACAGTGACAGTGGAGAAGCACATGTCAAGGAAGGACAGGTTGGCCAGAAAGTAATACATGGGGGTGTGGAGGTGGGAATCCACCCTGATCACCAGCAGGATGAGGAGGTTCCCTACCACAGTGAGTACATAAATCACTAAGAAGATTCCAAAAAGGGTGGTATCCAGGGCTGGTGCATGGGGAATCCCCATGAGGATGAATGTTGTCACAACGCTCAGATTTGACATTTCTTCTCATACATGGAGCTCTGTCCTTAGAGATGGAATCTTGCTGGTGTCGTGGTTATGCCTTCAGCTGACAACCCAAAGGCATATGGTTTGAATCTTCCCAGAAAGATGTGGAAGTCGGTTTCCTTAGAGATTTACAGCCTTGGAAACCTTATGGGACAGTTCAACTCTATCCTATAGAGTCTCTATGAGTAGGAATCCATTCAACCATAGTGGGGTTGGATTTTGTTCTTAAAAAAAAAAAAAAAGAATGAAAATCTAGCATTACTGATAATACAGGAAATACAGAAACGGCATATTCTCTGATGGAGAACACAAAGGTTCTTTTATCTTTTATATTGCCTTATTCATGAAGGTTCTATTTTGAAGAGGAATGGTTGTGTCCTTATATCAGCACCACATAAAATCATCATTAAAAAGCTATATATATAATATATTAATATTTGTTGTTGTTGTTAAGTGCCATCGAGTCGGGTCCGACCCATAGCGACCCTGTACAGGGTTTCCGAGGGTGTAAATCTTTACGGGAGTAGAAAGCCTCATCTTTCTCCCGCGGAGCGGCTGGTAATTTCGAACCGCTGACCTTAAGGTTCGCAGCCCGATTCGTAACCACTACGCTACCAGAGCTCCTTAATATATTAATATAGTATATATTAATATATCTTTAATAATATGTATAAAATCTCCATCTGTCCATTTTTGTACTTTGGTGAATTCTACACTTTGGTGGTATTGCTATGATTCTTGAAGCTATGCCACTAGTATTTCAAATGCTAGCAAGGACCCCATGCTGGACAAATTTCAGTGGCACGTCCAGACTAAGATGGACTAGGAAAATGTTCTGGTGATCCACTTCTGAAAATTAGCCTGTGAAAACCTTAGGGATCACAAGGGTCTTGTCTGAAACCATCATGGAGATGATGCAGGAACAGAGTTTGTTCCATTGTACATGTGATATCCATGAATCGAAGCTGACTCAATGACAACTTAGTAAAACATACCATAACTCTCACATATCCATTAGGTGACAATTTACTACCAGGGGCAATCCTTTATTCAATCATCTTTCTCTTTCTCTTTCTCTCCCACACCCACACACAATTTTCACACATACAGATTCAGCAAGATTATCCATTGCAAATGTAATTTTTAGAAGGAATCTTCATCCTGGATTGCTGAGAAAATTCACCTTGCTAAAACTTTTTTTGTCAGCAGCAGAAGTGCCAAGGCAGGATCCCAGCAATGGTGTAGCTTTACTCAGAGCCTGTCTTCTATTCTTCTGTCTTATCCCAGACCATGTTCATGTGATCATTCATGAGATCTGACCCCAAACTCATGTAATATATAAGATACGGAAATGGCATATTCTCATATAGAGAACACAGAGGTTCTTTTATCTTTTATATTGCCTTATTCAATGGTCAGAGTAACATTTTATTTTATTTTTAGGTGCTTATTTCTATTTATGGAGTCCTGGTGTGGCGCTGTGGGTTAATGTGCTGGACTACAAAGTCTGTTTTAATCACAAGGTTTAGACTCACCAACCGCTCCTTGGAAACCCTGTACAAGGTCACTAAGGGACAGAACTGAATCAAAGGTAATTATCAACAACAATTACTATTTATACATTTTCATTATTTCTGATTTCAGTATTTTAAGCAATCTATAATTCTCTCACTAAACTTGATCAAATCATTTTACAGTACATTTCAAGATGCCCAGGAAGTATTAAAATTAGTTAAATAGTAAAGAAGACAAGACTATGTCACTGAAGTTTGAATTTCAGAAAAGAATATATTTTTTTATAACAGAAACAAAATTATGCTTCTAAAAAGAAAGAAAAATTATATAGTATGAAATCTTTTAAAACATTTTTTTTCTAATTCAAACTCAAAGTTTTGTTCCTGTTTTAAGAGAATTATTTGGATGTCCTTGAAATTATATGTTTAAAGAGAAAATAAATGAAAAGAAACCTGTTTGGATACCAGAATATCTCTGGTAGAACAGGAACATTTTGTAGGTAATTTCTAAAGTGTTTCTGCCACATAGACTTGTATCAACAGCACATTTCTAAGTTTGAGTATTGAGAGAATGGAAATGTTCCCTTGGTTCCAACTCAGAGTTGATATGTAAAGGTTTTGAGAGAAAACATTTTGTAGCATTTCAATTCACATATAAAACCATGCAAAGCTGGCTCTACAAGCCATGACTAAGGCTATAGCCAAAATTGGAGAAAGATGAATAAATATAAACTGTGGTCATAAATATGTTATAATCATCTATGTATGTCCAATAATGAAAAATGCTGAGGTTTTGCCTTTTTATTTCTACTTACCAATTTTATAATTTGGTTTTAGATAATAAGCAACATTCAAGGTATAAAGAAATGGTCAGTCTTTGGTAGTAGGATTCATTTTCTTGCAAAGATGAAAATACAAGAGGACAAGTTATATAAACAAGGTTTTTAAATACTAGAGCTTAAATTGGTTTGATGTCTTGGGAGATGCTGACTTGGCCCCAGGGTCCTCACAGATAAGATAGGAAACGTTATGGTAAATGTAAAAAAAAAAAAAAAATTCCCAAATGCAACCATTTAAGTTAATTTTACATTTGATGGACAATCTTACATAAGGTACTTCATTTACAAAAATAATAATTTCTAAAATAAATAACAATGCCACTCTAGGTTTGAAAATTTCTTGTATAGGATTGATTAAATACTTTAATTAATTAATTATAAAAAGTCCTTTTTAAGTTCAATTATAAAAAATATGGTTTTCAACCCAAAAGGGACAGACAATTCAATGGTGAGCCTCAAAGTCTATGACAAATATATTATTTTTTGGTGATTCACAAAAAGAAGCTGTGTATCTTCTATGCTTCAGAGATGATCAACATTTTACCATTTCTAGATAAACATTTTGCTAATTAACTTTCTCCCTCTGGGGCTTGACAGATAACACTGTTTGCAATCCTAGCTAAAAATGTATGCTGCCTCACCTTCTCTGATACAAGGGTTGTTGTTGTTGTTGTTTTCCCTTTCTCAGCGATTTCTACCTTCGTGCCTTATTCCTTCTCTGTGCCTTAGAAGATTTTTTAAATCTCTGTGAGCTAGCTGCTCTTTAAAAAAAAAAAAAAAAACTTGATATAATATAACTGAGAGTTAATGCATGTCTTAGTTATTAAGAACGATTTTTATGACATCAAGGAGCATAATGTATGTTTCTGTAGATGCCCAAAGCTACTGTTAATATTGGAGAAGGAAAGGACAAGCCTTTTGTCCAATATGTTGAGAATATAGCTCTCTTTGTGGGTTAATGTGGACTGCAAAGTTGGTTTAAATTGTAAGGTCGGTGATTTGAGCTCACCAGTTGCTCCTCGGAAACCCTATACAGGGTCGCTATGGGTCGGAACGGACTAGATGGCACTTAACAACAACAACAATTAAGTGATAGTCTTTTAGGAACTGAGCCCCCTGAATTAGCCTATCACATTATCCAATGTTCTCATTTGATTAATCATTTAGTACATTAGTGTTGTTGTAAGTGCCGTTGAGCCAGTTCTAACTCACAGTGACCTTGTATAGGGTATCATACCTAATCAATGTAAAACACTTTATTATTCAAAGAGCGATTATATCCTTTATATAATTTATAATTTTACTACTATTCTCACAAATTCCACATTTAATTAACTCTAGAGGAGTTGGTTGATTAATTCTAAAAGAGTTAATTAAGTAGGATAAGTACTTGACTTCAAGGTGAGCTTGAACCACAAGGTTGGTGATTCAAACTCAGCAGCTGCTCCTCGGAAACCCTATACAGGGTCACTATGGGTCAGATCTGACTCCATGGCTCGTAACAACAACAAAGGAGTTAATTAAGTCCTGATGTGGTGCTGTAGGATATGCACTGGACGACAAGGTCTATTTGAACTGCAAGGTGGCAGTTCAAATCCAAGAGTCACTCCTCAGAAACCCTATAGGGTTTCCTAGGCACTTAACAACAACAACAGCAACAACAAAGGCTTTACTGTTCACTATTTCATATAACGGAGTCCTGGTGTGGCGCTGTGGGTTAATGCGCCAGACTACAAAACCTTTGGTATTTTTACATTTAAAATGTGTTGATCAAGAAAAACACCCATCCATCAATAAACCTATGACTGATGGGAGCATTTATCTTAGAAAGCAAGTTCAATAATTATTTACAGTTTAGTTCTAATTATACTTCAAAATCTCTTTTACACAATGCATGCTTTTACTTCTTATGAATTTAAACTGCCATCCATTTTCTTCTTTATGAACCTTATTAACTTCCATTTTACTCTATTGTTATATAACTATATAATGCATCTTCATAAAATTGTAATTTTGTGTTTTCATTTCCAAAAGTACATACCCACTGATTTTATTTCCTATCTTACTGTTGTTGCCCAGCTTACCACTTGATGACTTAGATTTCTCAGTAGCACAATGGTTATGAGTTGGGCTGCTAACTTCAAGTTCAGCAGTTGGAAACTACCAGCTGTACCGCGGAATAAGGATGAGGCTTTTTGCTCCCGTAAAGCCTTGGAAACCCTATAAAGGGTCGCTCTGAGTCAGAATCGACACGACGCACTTAACAAACTATCTTAAGAACAAAAACAGATAAATCAGCTTTTCAGACTATATTTCACTAAAACCCATTGAGTTCTTTTACGTAATGAATGATTCATAGCTTCCACCATCTTCAAGAACTCTACACATAGTCTTTTGCCCATGAAAAATGTCATAACTAAGTCCACCTATGCATTCTAGCCGTTTCTTTGATTCTCTTGTTAAAGAAAAGTAGAACGTCAAGCGCTAGCATTCGCAACCCACATTCCATCACTGGACTTGCTCGGACGTTGAACCATTATTCCCCACCCCCTCACAGCCCCCACCCCACCCGCCTTTTTATTTTTTCAAAATTACTTTAGCTATTCCTTTAATTTCCATATAATTTGCCAATTTCTACCAA